CTAAATATAGTTTCCCGTATTTATCAGCTTCCTTACTTACAGTGCCGCACTCTGGTTTAATTCCACGATAACCGCATTTTGGTTCGTTAGGAGGGGGACCGTTACGGTTGTACCACATAATTTGGCGGGAGCTGTTGCTTACTGGGTCACGAACAGGTTCCAGGGCTTTTCGTTTGGCTGAATACTCCAAAACAGCCTAAAAGAACCCATAAACGGAAAATACGGTAACAGTGTGCAAAGGAAAATTAGCATTCGTAAAACAGCGGTTCGCAAACTTGACTACCAGTATTATTTTGTAGAACTGCAGCAAAATGGAGCGCTAAAAGACTGCGTTCTGGCGATTCGACAATTTAATGCTTAAATTTTGTATGAATCACCTCGTACTGTATTAAAAAAAAATGGTAGAAACGTATCTTCCGCTTTACTGATGATTTCAGAACTTTGATTAATCATACCATAAACGCTCCGGTTTCGCTGTCCATTTGGTGCAGTGTCCAGTCCGCTTCACGATCGCCATTAGCGTTGATTATGATATCCTGGCCCAGTACCGAGTATGTGTGATTCCACATCTGCTTGCTCATCCACGGCCCGTCATTGGGATGCCCTCCATTCGCTACGGTGTCATTCATTACCTGGAAGTCATACTTCGGTATATGGGACAAATTCAAGAAAATAAAGTATCTAATTTGGACGTCTGCTGCATCTGTGGCAGTAAAAGATCTGTCACGCATTTGGGATTGCAGAAACGAGAAAATAATGCAGCACAAACACTATCAAAATCTGCCTGTTGTGTTAGTGCTTAATAGTGATTAATGGTGGTTACCTTTGCGTAGACGGCGAGGGCGTAATAATAAGCCATCGCAAATGGATTGACCTTTCATACGCAAACCAGAGTGGATTAATGTTAATCCGTTTGTAGTATGCTGGTACGCCATTCTGTACTCTGTATTTTCTGGATTAAAATTCAGTTTACTTCTTCTCCAGTGGCGTATGTGTAATTGAATGCTGTTTTTGACCGTAGCTTTATTTCCTCTGTAGCATTATGGTAATCAGGTGTGGCATCTGGACTGCGGAGAGATATTTTAAAAAGGGAGCGAAATGCGGTTCTGGCATCCTGAAAACCAAACCGAAAGATCAAATTAGGCGAGATTTACTGAAGCACTATTTTCCAGTGAAAATGTTAAAAAAGAATCGAAAATAGAAATTAGTAACTGCTGCTGCCCTCTTCTGTACCTCGTGCTTACCGCATCCCGCTTATCGCCGTTTCCGGTATTCCAAGTTATACTTCCGAAGTGCTTTGCGCTTGGAAATAACTCAATTGTGAAATAGACCTGCAACTCGGAACGTATGAGAAACTGCTAGCTAAAAATGGGATGTACACTTCAAGCATTTGATAATTTGCATTGTATCATACTCACATAATCACCCCCCGTCATCTGCTTATCAAACGCTGCCAGCTGAAAATGCAAAGAAAGTCTTTACTACACCGGGGAGGCACTCAGTCGTTATAATACGGCAAGGCCGGCATCAACATCACCGGCTTTACCATGATTGGACGAATCCGGTCGCCGTGGGCAATTATGATGACAACTGAAAAAGCATAATCATTGGTCTCCACGGAAGAATGCAAATTTATATCAAATAGTTATTAAAAGAATGTTGGTACGGAAAATAAGTTACAAACAGGATAATATTGGTGATTAATCATCGCAATCTCCTTATACTCACCTCGAGCAACAGATCGTACCTCCTCCAGGTAATGTTTCACATGGTTCTTGTCCGTGGCATTTACGTAAAACCGACTGGCGCTGATATTATACTGCAGACGCAGAGTGTCGAATGAATTTGAACACATTGGGATATACAGTAATAACGTGTCGTTGGCATCATCACACAATATGGCCACGGTGTTGTAGCTAAAGTTTTCCAATACTTTATACATAAACTTATTAAGAGTGTAATCGATAAAAGGGGAGAAGTTGGTTAGTGTGGGATAACGTCTCTTGTTGGAATAGGCATAATTGCCCCAGGTGCTGAAAATGTAAAGCAACTGAAGTTATGCAGTTTAATTAATATCGTTTTATCAGAAAGTAATTAACAGGCAGCTAGTACACTTCTGACTATATTAAACGCGTACTTACGTAGCTAACATTTGGCTGTTCCAAGCTGTAAAAATACCGGATGACTTTTAGACCTTGCGGTGGCTTTTTCGGGCGCAGCTGCGCCGACGGAAATCAAAATGAAAAGGCAAATACATACGACAAACCAAGTCAAAGTCCAAGTTAAAATGGGATGTCAAATACAGTAAATTAATGGAAATAAGTCAAACTGGACTCCTATAAGATCGCCTTTTTCCAGCAGCCAGATGTAGTTTACCTTTAGCCAAACTAGCTAAAGATGCTCCTGCTGTTGGACATCCTACACAAAAATGCAACTCAAAATATTAACAGCGAGATTTATCGGCACATTACATGTGACAGCACATTTTGTCAAAACATGTTTGTTACCGGGTTCAAATATTCCCAGATTCGGATTGCCGACCCTCTCAAGGTAAAAATAGTGGTTAGCCCAGATTGTTATTTTTTGATCCATCTCGTCACACGTTGTCACGTTGCGATCATAGATGAGGACACTGGCTATGTTCATAACCTCTTTGTATGGTGCCAGGTCCTCCTCACCCTTAGCGATCACAGGTGCAGCGAACGACAGGCTGGTTGGTGTTTGGTCGCCCCACAGATAAAACTGCACCAGCGCTATATTTACACTGGGTGCGGTTACAGAGATGGAAACAGCAAAAGCAGAGAGAAGGAGAAAATAATTTCGCATTGTGGATGAATACATTGCAACTGCGCAGTTGAGCCAATAAATAATAGTTTTGTCTTTGAACTTTCCCAAAGTTTTATAATAAGGGTTGCTAAAATTGCAAAAAGACCGATTCCCAGTTGAAGGCTGCTGCTGCTTTCAAAAGAAGAACAAGTACAGTATTTAATGCAAAGCTCAGTGCGGCTTCACGACTGAATGTGATTCTGTCTTTAAGCTTGTTGTATGTTTCTAGCTGGAGGAACTTTGTTGGCATTATTGCCGAAGTAACCGGTTTTTTCATAATTGTCTGGGATGGGCATTGAACTGCTTCGATATTCGTATTCTTGTTAAGAAGACGAGCGTCTGTCTACCCTAACTTCGTGCCGCTGTAATACCGGTCAGTTTGCGGCGGTAATAAGTTAAAGAAAGAATTAGCAATTAACCCCAGCTAAATCTGTATAAAATTTTTTTATAGTGCGTTTTTTTTAATGTAAGCGCACCATAAAAAATTTGGCTGGTATTTAGGCGCTTTGGTCATTCTCTTTTGATACAGTTCATTGCGGTACCGCAATGCTTGTTACTAACAAGCATGGCACTGCCTTATTAGTGGCAACATTTCTGCATTTCTCGACTTAAAACTGCAAAATGGGGGTACTGATGTAAGAATGCACTTACCGTTTTACTGAATAAGCACAATGCACCGTTTTGTTATGTATGGAAACCGACAAATTACAACCGTTAATAACATTCATCTCCATGATACATTACTACTAATTTGAAATTTCTATTACATTATTACATTCTATTAAATTTCTATTTCATTACCATTATCATTCTAAATTTCTTGCCCAACCCACAAAAATCGGGATCTAGTCACAATTTTGCTGTCATCACTTTCACACTTCCAGCAGGTTTGGGGCGGCAGCGGCAAACTTTCGGTATTGGCTACCTTGCTCTGAAAGGCAGAACAAAAATTTAAAAGGAAGCATTAGCAACGTTGATGTTAGAGTCTCTTGCACTTATCAAAACACTTACCTTTAGCCCGACAATCTGGATTAATTCCACGATACCCACATTTTGGCTCGTTAGGAGGTGGGCTGTCACGCTTGTACCACACAATTTTGCGGTTGCTGTTGTCCACTGGATCGCGAGAAGGTTCCAGAGCTTTACGCTTAGCCGAATATTCCATAACCGGCTAAAAACAGACAGGACAATCCGTAGCGAAATATCAGTCCGCTTACATTAGTGAAAAATATTTCAAGCGCATTCTCGAAGTAAAGCGATCGAAGGATACATGCGTGCTTTTGATCGCAGAATTTACTCTGAGCCTTTTCAGTGACTTGAGTACTTCCGGTAGCCAATTTAAGTTCATCGACGCAAAGGCAGTTTACCTAATTGACGAAGAACATTCGCTAATGCACATACCACAAACTTTCCCGTTTCGACATCCATTTGATTCAGTGACCAGTCCGCTTCACGATCACCATTAGCGTTAAGGATGATATCCTGGCCTAGGATGGTGTATGTGCGGTTCCACATCCGCCTGCTCAAGGCGCCTCCGTCAAGGGGATTTCCCCCAAGTGCTATTGTTTGGTTTACTACCTGGAAGCCAGATTTACTTCCGCAGGTCAAAATAAAAAAAATGTTCTTTTCATATTAATGCTTTGCCGTAAATGTGGCAGTAATAAACTCCAACGCTCACTGCGGATTGGTTAACATTGGTACAACACTGAATTTGTTGAAAATCGGATACTACGTACGGTATATCGACCATTACCTGGGCGAAAATGACAAGGGCATAATAGTTTGCCATGGCAAATGGATTCACCTTGAATACAGGAAAACAGAAGGGATTATTTATATGTAATGATCTGTTAATGGAGATACGACTAGGGCGTTTGTATACCGGCGATTGATTGGCTGGTAAAGCTAACTGTTTACTGTTTAGCTTACAGTAATGACTGGTTTATTTAATTTACTTACTTCCTCTTCCAGGGCAAATGTGTAGCCAAATATATTTTCGGATCGACGCTTTATTTCATCAGTAACATTACGATATTCGGGTGGCATCCGGATTACGTAGAGATATCTTAAACAGGGAACTAAAGCGGTTCGGGCATCCTAAATAGAAATATAAGAATCAAACAAGCAGAGCTTTAGTGAAGCACAAATTCTTGATATGGTAAGCAGAAAAATCATGGAAGACCGATGACCTTTCTTGCCATTTGTCCTTACTGAATCCCGTCCATCGCTCTCCCCGGTATTCCAAGTTATATTGCCAAAGAATTTTGCGCTTTGAAACAGCTCAATTGTGAAGTAAACCTGCCATAAGTTGAACAAGAGAATTTACCAAAGAGAAGTTGGGTGGACGCACAACTGGCGCATGAGCGTTGTTGTAATGGCTTTCATAATACAGATAGGCATACTCACATAATCCCCTTCCGTCATCTTCTTGTCAGACGCTGCCAGCTACGTGTAAAAACACAAAAACAAAGTCTTTATGATGATATGACTAGTAGTCAGGCTGCCAAACGATTCCGGCAAGCTTTACCATAATTGACGAATCCGATCACCGTGGGCAATGATGATGGCAACTGAAAAACCGTTATAACTACCTTATAACTTAGCCGTTACGGCAGCAATAAAAATTTCATATCTAAAATACTAAAATCAGCGGAATTAAAATTCGCTCTTGAAAACGGCAATGTTTGCTTGCTAGATGTAAAGTGGACAAAATCAATAGAAGTGTGATTCTGAAACTATGACATATATACGTGTAAGATAGTAGTACAATACTTTATTTACATTATGTAGATCAGCGAGCACCACTCAGTGAACACAAATGAGATGATTGGTTTTACTGGGTGGTGCTCGCTGAACAAATCAAGCGTGTAAAAAATTATTCAGTCAACAAATATAGAAAGCTTCAATTAAGCTGTTAACACACATTCCCTTTACTGGACCCCGAGCTATCGTTTTCATCTCGTCCAGATAACGTTTCACATTGTTCTCGTCTGTGGCATTTACGTAATACCGGCTGATCCTGACATTATACTTCAGAAGAATAATGTCGAATACGAATGAACACACCGAAGCATACAGTCCCAAACTGTCGCTGGCATCGTCACACAGCATTGCCACATTGTTGTAGCGGAACTCAGCTAATATTTTGTGCACCATCATACTCAGATCGTAATGGTTGAAGGGAGACAACGAGGTTAACGTGGGATAGCGCCTTTTGTTGGAAAGATCATTCTCTCGATCTCCCCATGAACTAAAAAAGCATAAGGAAGCTGATAGTAACTGCAAACTTAAAAAATAATTCCAGATAGATCTGGTTCCTGTCAAAACTCCTTTAAGGCACTTTACCAGCTAGCTGACAGCCAGTACCCTTTGGCTGCTACGAATACATATGGTAGTACAGTACTTACGTAGCTAGCATCTGATAATTCCATCCTAGAAAACACGCACATGTCGTGCATTAAGAACGGTATTAATTTGGCTCAGCGTGCGCATATATACAATGTAACTGAGCAGATACTGCTGACAAAGGTAGAGCCAACTCAGCTTTAGAAAACAAAGCAACTTCTACTTTCAGGGAATCTAGATGATGTATGTATACGGTATATACTATAATTATAGATATAAGGCTTGATCCTTCAGCACTTGGGTTACTGCCGCATTCATTATGTCTTACTTCCGCCAGTTGAGCCACAGATGCTGCTGCTGTTGGGCACCCTAGGAAAATTAACAGTTTATGATTACCACAAGAAGTTTTGGTGTCACTAAAACAATCGAATTAAGTTCCACAATATATGTATTACCAGGACCAAAGACTCATAATAGGATTTCCCATCCTGAACCGATAATAATAGCTCGCAAACCAGTATGTTACTCGTTCATCCATCGCGTCGCACGTCGTCACGTTGCGTTCGTAGACGAAGACGGTTGTGATATTCAAAACATCCTTGTACGGTGCCAAGTCTTCCACGGCCTTCGCCCTCACGGGTCCAACAAACTGTACACTCGTCGGTGTCTTATCGCCCCAAAGATAAAACTGTACCAAGGCGACATCCACGGTGGATGCCGTTATACAGCTGATGACAGCAACAATCGAAACAAGTAGGAAAGCTGACTTTCGAATTTCGGATGGGTACATTGCTGCTGCAGTCACGCGATTAACCGGTAACTTGATCTTTGAATTTTCACCAACGTTAGAACTTAAATGCTATGGAAAATGCAGAAAGATGGATTGCCGGTGCACCGTACTGGTTTGCCTGCTGACCGTTTTATAGGAAACAACGGAACTTGGCCGCACCTCAAAATTGTGCTGAAGAACCGGATGTGATATTTCTTGGTAGATTCGGCAGTTCCTTGTTATCTCTATTAACTGCCTTTGTCGATGAACTGGGTATAATTTTTTAGCTGGAGGACCTCTGCTGGCATTGCCGCAGTAACCGGTTTCGGCATATTTCTTAACATTATAATTATTCGATTAGCACTTACAGAGTAATTGCGCTAGTAAGTACTCGTACTTACTAAAGCGGGTTGCACTTACGATACGTATACAATTATAATACAAAGCATCGCAAACTCAGCCGGCAATTTATACGAGTTGTCCATCGTATTCGTGCATGCTGTGACAATAACAAGAATGATACTGCTTTATGTATTCGGGCGGATACATACCATTTAACGGTATATCGTTAACAGCTTAAGATTTACTGATGCAGTTTTGTTGTATTTGTAATGTCGCGAGATGCTAAAAGGAACGGGTTGTTTTGAGTGCGTTAATTTATTTGGAGAGGTTTGCGTTTGCATTCATTGCCATCAGCTGCCGTTCCGTTTCTTTTAAATTTATATCTTCTTAATTACGAATTACCAGCGAGTTTATGATGGTCGAGTAATCGAGGCAGCGCCGGTAGACGTGGTTACCATTGAGCTCCGTTGCTCAGGTAGAGGCGCACGTGGACGCGCGGTAGCAGGCTAGCAGCCATTGAACTTTTCTTTATACGACGTAGTTTTGCAGTTCTGCATTTTTGCACTTATGTAAATACAGAGTACATAACAAAAAAAGCGATGAACGCTGGCTGTTAACTTTTTTGCTTTCGACACCTGTTTTGAAATCTACCCGGCCGCTCGCTCTCCCGATCCGACATCCGCTCGCTTTGAAATTCTAGTTCAATTTCCGGAATGCTCGCACTAAAGAAAGACCGCACAAAAAATCCACACAAAATTTTCTGCTTTTATCGGAGCATCGGATTAACGTATCGGAAATTTAAACATAATCGCAGTGGTATGGGAATCGTATCGGACAGGTGGAAAACGTATCGACATCGTTATAGCGGTGGTGAAAAATTAAAATCGGACTCTGCAGCAACGAAGTAATACAACTCGCACCTACAACTTCCCTTACAACCTTAAACAACAGATCTGCACGATTTTTCATTTTGCAAATAAAACGTTATTTTCCATTAGACCGTAAAACAACCGTTATTTCGAAGCACCGCTAGTGTTCCGCGGATTACAATTTTACGGCAGCTATAAAAAACGTTCAGCCACAGAGACCGACTTGTATTATTTTGTGTTTTAAATTGATCGCACAGGATTAATGGTCTTCGGTCTTAAAAAGACGGAACGCATTTTCGCAGTTAAACACATAACGCTTCTCGTGTTAGTGGCGAACAGAAGAAAAATTGTTGCGTCAATAAAGTTGGACAGGTTGCTAATTTGTGTATGTAGTGGCCTCCTGGGCAACAGTCCAAGTTGGATACAACACTGTAACGATCGCTGCCGGCGACCATCCAAGGAACAACGCAACGGTGGATGCAATGTAAACTGGTGGGTCCCTTTGGCCAGTTGTCTGGACGTAGATGAGGGATCTAGAAGTCAAATAAGTTTTATTTTGCAATCGGTCTTGTTACTTACTCTACTGCGGTTACCATTTCGTTCCTGAATTTATTAAAATATGCTAACCACGAGTAACTATTGAACAATAGACTGCCCGCGCTCGCACTTGTTTTTTTATGGCTGTTACTCATCAGCATTTTCAGAATCGGACATCAGCATGTCGGTCGGTTGCGGTTTAAAATTTATAATAAAATCAACAGGCAGTGTACAACAGGAGCATATTCAGTCTTACATGCATTTTTCCGCGCAATACACGCTAAAACGAGCATTTACATACTTTTATAATTGTATTATTTTCTAATTTGTACGTACGCGATGTTACGGAGACGATACGACGGACTTGGATCCGGCGCATTATCATGACATATGGCAGCGATCCGAATATACCGCCAAGATGGCCGTGACAGGTAGCGCACTGTAAGGAGCAGAACAGGACCCACGTAAAAATTTGCTTTAAAGAAAT